CAAATATTTGTAATAGCTGAATAAATAGCTGAATTTGTGTGTCCTGAAGTGACAATTTGAAGAAGTAATCTTGGTCCAAGAGATTGATCACATAACCCTGTTTGTGTTTCAGATCTGAAGTCATCCAGGCCCAGGAAACTACGGTGTTTTCATATCATAGTTATTTACCTCGTCCTGCAGACAGTCCTTAATGCTTTTCTTCTTTATAAAGGTACAGCTGCATACCATCTCATTTCACAGCTATAAAGAAATCAAGATCAATCCATTTTTTTCTTTAAAAAAAATACATTAATGAGTAGCACTTTAAAATAATGTCACACTATTGAGCATTATTAAGGTATCAGAAAGTGTTTAATCCACCATCACATTTTATTCTCCCTAGTATGTAATTCATGCATACAGATATAAATGTTTAGAGGAGGAGGAGTAGGAGGAGTAGTATTAGAACTGATGGTGCATTGCAAGGCAGCCCCTGTCGCTGTAGAATGAAATACCTTATGAGCAAAGACAGACATAAACTACATTATTTAAAAGTTCAGTGATGCTACCATATCAACAAACACCATGGTGACAATGTTCAATTTAGTTTAATTTATACAGCAACAAATCGCAACAACAGTTGTCTCAAAGCACTCGATACTGTAGACCCTACAAACACTTCCAGCACAGTTACTCCTGACACAAAATCTCCTTTTTCTATCTGCACACTACAAAACAACAGATAGAAACACACAGATACTAATCTGCCATCACTTCAATGCACACAAAATCCAAACATTAGAATCAATTTTATTATTCAAATCATTTTTCATTCTCGATCCCTGCTCCATCTCTCTGGACAGCAGACATCTAAATACTTTGTTAATCAGTTATTTAGACTTTATAAATGACACAATGACCATGTTATAAATAAATAATTATAAATAAGCATCTTAATCAAGAATTTTTATATTTGTATTTAATGAGGAGTAATGGTTTATAAGTGATGAAGCACTTACTAATACCTTAGTAAAGCAGGTTAGTAAGGTTAGGGTGACATTATTATGATAATTAACATACATGGGAAGAAAGTATAGTGAAACATATTTGTTCATTTTCTCTTGGTTACAGTTTTCACACTGGAGGCTTCACTGGCTCGCCCCAGATCAGAGGGGCAAACGTCCAATGATGTTTCTCATGGTTATGAAAGCTTCCAAACTCTCATACAAAACAACAGTCAAGAAACCAAGAACCTGAGACACCACCTATGGACGCTGGAGAGCCAGGTACTCTTCTCGTGTACATATAATGTGACACGGGGGCAATGACACAATGGATATTGAAGTTTGTAGGATTGACCCATGGCTGACTTGATCTTTCCTGTGTTGCTCTGGTAGAGCGGATCAATCGCTGCCCCATGTTCTTGGGCAATATGTTGATCCCTAAATTGCCGTTGATGTACTCACTGGCATGTGAGCGTGTGAATGTGACACAAAGAGTTTGGGCATACATAAAGGTGCAATGGGAATGTGTATTATTTGGTGAATGAGACTTACAGAGGGAAGCGTTTTAGGTGCTGAGCTTATGTAGAAAGGTACTATTTAAGAAGCAGTCCATCACTGAATATACAGCGCATCCGGAAAGTATTTCAAAATGGCCTGTATGGCAGTTTGTCCAGACAGAAGCCAAAATTATGCATGATGATGGGCAGCCGTGCCCCTCTCCACACGCCTGTCTCACACACACAGCGAGCCAACGACAAGAATCATAGTCATAACAACTCTATAACAGAGCTTATCTATGTGCTTTGCTTATAGTGAGTCATCTTTATTCTTAATCAAAGATATAAATCAAAGTATAAGTCTGATTAATATGTTAGCCGAGACATGAGCTGAGTAATGAAAATTATTCAGATGTCTGGATTTTGTGTGCATAGACATGATCCAGCTGTAGCCTCGTGGATGAGTATCTGTGTGTGGCTGCAGAGATGTGAAAGATAAGATAATGTGCTGCCAGCCCAAAATTATGTTCTGAAAGATTCTGGAAAAGAGAAATGGTACTAAGGGTTGAACAGAGAACCATAAGTCAGATGTGATTTTAATGACAGTTTAATTATGCTTAATACTGATGAGAATATAACCAATACAATGAATGAGAAAATATAATGATGTCATGATTCAAGAAACAACATTTCTTTTGAATCACGTATGTGGAAAAGCCACATAGATAGATGGTAAGATATGGCTGGACATCAGGTGATAAGTTGTTTGTTCCTTTCTCTTCTCTGAGATGAGCGGTTCAAAAGCTTAGATTATATTTATATTATAATACAGCTCGGTAATAAAGGGGTAACAGTAGGGTAACAAGGGGGAAACAAGAGGGTAATAATGTAGTATTTCTAAGTTTTAATATCCAAAGTAATAACCATGTAATATCCAAGTAATATCGAGGTAGCAACAATGGTTACAGTTGAGTGTTATTACCCTGAAATTTATGTAATAGGATAATAAGAAACCCAAAAATTGGGTGTAATAATGTGGAAATAGAGCTAGGTAATAAAGCATTAATAGTAGGGTAGCAAGGACAAAATAAGAGTGTAATAATGTGGTAATTTCTAAGTTATTACCACTGAATTACCAGTGGTAGTTTCTATATAAAAAGCAGGAAACAAAATGCCAAACCGCCTGTTTCCATTTAATAACACATTAATAACCTGTTAAAGCTAACTTAAAGAAGTGTGGTTATTACCTGGAAATATCTCAGGTAGTTTCCATGTAATAAGAAGGAAACAGATGCAAAACCACTTGTTTCTATCTAATAACACATTTATAACTATGTAATAACCTTTTAAAGCACACTTAAAGAATCGTAATGACGACCTGGAAACACCTGTGGCGGTTTCTGTGTAATAAGCAGGAATTTAACACTATGGTCATGATACCTGATTAAAAAAAGCACCAGGAAGTCTGTAATGAACTGGAAACACTTAAACACAAAATGTTAAGAATTAAGTTTAAAACAATAACACATATGAATACATACGTGTTATTCTCTGCACTGGAGTGTAGAGGACCCTCCATCATGGCAAAATTTATACATGGATGACAACACATAATATGGTCAATATAGTTAAGGTGGGAAAGAAAGTGGAGCACATTTTTAAAACTGTGATCAGTCGTGGCAAATCATCAAACATCTGCTGACATCTTGGTGAATTGAGTTGTGTAAATCCACAAAGAGCAGTAAACCTAAAAGCAGCAGTAGCCCAGATCAGCTTATCACAGCTTGTACATCAAGAAAATCTACTGGTCCCACAGATGTATTCTAGGAATTCTTGTGAGTTGTGATTCGTTTCTCCACACTGAGCCATTCCAGCTGTCTTTAGGGTTCCCCCATCTGTTGAATCCCACAACGTAGGCAACAGAAAATAGGAATACAGGAAAATAAAAAATACCTCTATCTACTAATATTTTAATATTGCCTTAACATTGCACAAGGCTTAGTCAGCTTTACACAAAAACATCCTCCAAAAAGATGCTTTTTACTTTCTTGCATTTACACACTACAGGTGTACTTTCTGTGTAGCTGGCCTGTACCACTACACTTTGTGTCTTACACTTCTGTCTTTGGAACGTTTGCCCCCCATTCCTTCTTTCACAGTCTGTCTTTGCAGGTGATTGATGGATGGTGTGCTCATCAAAATAAAGCTAACATTAATCTCAGTGTTATTCCACATTACCTGGACTATATCAATATTCAGATCATACAGAGATTAGTTAAAATATAATATGTGGATGTGCAACCATAGTTTTCCCCAATCTGGAGCTGAGTACTGATTTGTATTTCTTTAGGTTTGGATGAATGCATTTGTAAATAAGTGTACTCCAATCGCTTTGTGTTTGTGCATGAATTGAACACAAATTCAACAACAATACGTGTCAGCCTTTTAAAATCCCTGAGCACTAATCTGAGCAGGAGTACCTTATACACAAAACGTATTCATCTATAATAATTCCTTTAAAAAAGTGTTTCCATGTTTTTACACTTTAACATCACAGTCACATATTTTACCAGATTAAAGGCCTGTGTGGCGAGGAAGGTCAGCTGGACAAACTGAAGACCGACCTGAGCCTGCTCAACACCACCACCCATAACCTGGAAGGCAAACTAACAGTCATCAGCTTGAAGCCAGGTCTGTGCATGTGTTTATGTACACAACAACAGGGTAAAGCAACAACTATCACAAAGAGCATTTTCTGATTTCAAGCTTTAGATCCACATCATTGTTGTTTAGACAACACTGAGGTTATTGTACTCTGCCCTACAAGTTTTAGAAATGTGGTGTTTAACCAAGAATTTACTTTAGATTGCACTACGTAGCTAAGACTGTGAGGAATTTAATGAGGAATTTCTAACCAAGATTTATCCTTTAGCATGCACATTAAACAAATATGTAGGGTTGCCTTCATTTGTTTGGTAAAATTAGAAACATCTGGTCTCAGAGTGATGCCACACAGCTAGTGCTTCTATTGTGATAGATAATTATCACTGTAAAAGCTCCTGAAAAGCCTTCAGTTGATCCTGAATGCTACAGCAAGAGTATTAACTGGAACTAGAAAGAGAGACAATATTTCTCTCTTTAATTTGGACTTGAATTTAAAGTCTTCATCTTCACATGCAAAATGAATAACGAGGCCACGCCATAAGAATTTATAGTAACTTTCTAAAAGTAGAATAGAAGGCAGAGCCTTCAGCTATCAGACCCCTGTATTATGGACCAGCTGCCAGTTTGGATGAGTGAGACAGACACTCTCTGGGCTGTGAGGTCTCTCGCTCGCCTCATCCTCCACCTGCGGCTGGTGAGGTCACCCTGCACAACCAGGAGGAGGCACGGAGGAGCCCCGGGCCCCAGACATCCATATGCCCTCCAAAGCATTAGAGCCCCAGGAGGACCAGAGCAGGGGCAATGGTAGCCCCTACCCAGAGATGAGCCCTGGAGCGGGGGCTCACCCAGCAACCACAGTGCAGAAGTCCAACGGGGTCGTGGTGACAAGCCTCCATGCTCCGCTGACAGCTGGCTGTGCCAGAGCAGACTGAGGTCCAGGCCCAGCGAACCGAGACCCAAGGGCCCCCCACACTCCAGCAGGGGCCCGACAGAGTCAGGGGGGCCAGGTCCTGCCAAGCAGCCGCTGAAAGTGAACCAGTACACAACTGAATACTCAGCCTCTGACATCCAGAACCATCAATGCTCTGCCAGGTGGGGACACCAGCTACTGGCAGGGACTGTGGCGTGGAGAAATAAGCCCCCACACCTGGGGGAGCCTGAGATGTTCTAAAAAAGTTGGATGCTAAGACCTAACCTGACACGTAGACATAGGAAAACAGGCACACACAGACACAAGCATACATGCCCATCCTCATGCACACATATAAACACTCTCACACTTGCCCAACATGGAGACACTCAGAGATGAATGCAGTACACACACACTCACACTCCCCATACACACATTATACTCCTAAGTCCAGACACCAATGCCTCCAGAGGGGCAATCCACTCACAGACCCATAAAATGGGGTAGAGACAACCACACAGCCCTGGTCCATGCAGCAGCAGAGCAGCCCACCAGCCCTGGCTGGAACGCCAGTCCCAGACCCCATGCCTCCCTCTACCAGCTCATATGTGGTGTTGATGCTGGCCTATAGAGCATTTATAGTACACTTTGCAAAGGAGGAATGAAAAAATAGGATGAATGTTTCCTAAGTTGCAAAGCTTTGACAACAGAACAAGCTTGAAACTAATCAATGTGACTGATTGTCCCGGAACAACAGTAATAATGCCGGAACAATACCTCAGGTGTAATCAGATGCATCATAACACATAGTGTAATAAAATACTAGCAATGTATTTACGTATGTGTTCTCAGGACCCCCAGGTCCTCCAGGCACCAATGGACATCCAGGTAACCGAGGAGAAAAAGGCAGCAAAGGTGAGGTCAAAGTTACAGAAGCTGTAATTGATGTATTTATATTAACAATGTGACATAAATCTGCCAATGTGAAATGTCATATTCAGTAAGTTTAAAGCAGCAGCCAAGGCCAAATGGAACGAGCTGATGACAGAATCATTCAGAAAAGCAGCGTCACATCTGTATTTATTTTTACAGTGTTTAGTCTAAAACCTGCTTTGGTAAAGAACAAGAAAAGTTTCAACTGTAAAAACTTCATTCATTAGAAGATGCTGTGGGGTCGTGTGGAGCAGAATACATTAGCTTTCAGCTGCTGCTCTGGCAATGATCCCAGCATTGATGACGCATCATCTCCTGTCAGATGGATGATGAGACCTGGTTGATGAATGAGCTGCAGCCGTTATTTCACATAGCTTCACAATGTAGTGCACTGACATTTCCTGCATGAAATCTCTATCAGGGCTGGACTTTTACTCACACTGACAAATTAACCAGCTCTAATGCATATATTTCCCAATAGATAAAACTCTGCGTGCCCTCAAGCTCTCTCCTAAAAAAAGTCTTTGATCAAACTTATATTTTATGATAATTACATTTAGTTGGTTTTTTGTGGTTATTTGTTGGTTGATTTGTCTGTGAAACACTCGGCTCTAGACAAGGACACTAAGGACAGATTGTTGATTCACTAACATCTTCATTTTCCCGAGTCCTCACATAATAATTCTCAGTTAATCATCAATTTAATTCATTTTTTTTTCTTAATTCATTGCCGTTATCTCAGTGCATTTCATTATGTAAAGACTGTAGAATATTAGAGAAAGATAAAAGATGAAGAAACAGTTTGCATCGGTGTACAGAGAGAAGATGAAGCCTTGTCAGGCAGCTGCTGTGACCAGTTGTGGGGTTAAAGCGTCAATATGTTTCTTTTTTACTGCACTGAAAATTTTAATTAGTGAATCTTATTAAGGATGATTAAAAAGGATGTAAAGTGAGTGCTGTAAAAAGAAGTGTTTTAAGTGTAGTGCACTTATACCCAAGATTTACCTGTTATTGAAGTGCTTCAGAGGTCCACAGAGATGAATGAAAAACAAGTTCCGTCACCTAAAATAGTCACGTTCTGTGCGGTGACAAAGTATTTGACAGCTCCCTGATTTCTTAGCTTTTTGTATTTCTGTTGCACTCACTTGTTTCCGATGTTTCAAATCATCACATCATTTTAGACAAAGAAAACCTGAGTGAACAGGAAATGCAGGTTTTAAATTGCAATTTCATTTATTGGGAAAAAAGATATCTAAACCTACCGGGACCTATATCAAAATGTAATTGTCTCCTGAAAAGATTACCTGGTTATGAGTTAGCAGCAAGAACTCCAATCAATCATTTGTCATAATCTTTCACATCATGGTGGAAGAATTCTGGTGCACTCTATTGTTTTAATTCAGCAGCATTTGAAGGTTTTTAAGTATGAACAGCCTGTTTATGGTCATGCCAAAGCACCTCAATTATATTTAAGTCTGCACTGGGCCAGTCCATCACCTTCATTTTGTTGTTTTTGTGAAAAATGTCTAACATGATTTGCTGTCCTAAAACCTTAGGAATAGTTTTGTAACCATTTCCTGGCTGATAGATGTCAGTTTGTTTAGATTGTGGCGCGATGTATTAGCCTACATCACTTCTTAAAATGTGGTTAAGTACATGTAACACTGGCTTTAAAAAGATTCTTTTTTTAAATTTTGTTTTTGCTACTGGAAACTTTGGACAGGTCTTTATCTATTTTTCCACTAAATTCAGATTTAAAGTCCAATTAAAGATCATGTATATTATAATTATATATTCGATATAATTACGTTGGCAAAGAAAAAACATTACTTTGACTCATTGGCCCCCCAGGCAAATGCCCAGTATGCCAGTCCAGCCCTGTGCTCATATATTGGTTTCTATTACTTTTACATCTTGATGAAATCTTCCCCCGTGTTCATATTAAACAAATATGTAAGACTGCTTTCTTCCATTTGTGCAACATCTCTAAAATTAGAAATATCCTGTCTCAGAGTGACGCTGAAAAACTAGTTCATGCATTTATTACTTCCAGGCTGGACTACTGTAATTCATTATTATCAGGAAGTCCTAAACACTCCCTGAAAAGCCTTCAGCTAATCCAAAATGCTGCAGCAAGAGTCCTGACAGGGACTAGAAAGAGAGAGCAGATTTCTCCTGTTTTGGCTTCCTGTTAAATCCAGAATTGAATTCAAAATCCTGCTCCTCACATACAAGGTCTTAAATAATCAGGCCCCATCTTATCTTAATGACCTTGTAGTACCATATCACCCTATTAGAGCACTTCGCTCTCGCTCTGCAGGCCTACTTGTTGTTCCTAGAGTATTTAAAAGTAGAATGGGAGGCAGAGCCTTCAGTTTTCAGGCCCCTCTTCTGTGGAACCAGCTTCCAGTTTGGATTCAGGAGACAGACACTATCTCTACTTTCAAGATTAGCCTTCAAACTTTCCTTTTTGCTAAAGCATATAGTTAGGGCTGGACCAGGTGACCCTGAATCCTCCCTTAGTTATGCTGCAATAGATGTAGGCTGCCGGGGGATTCCCATGATGCATTGAGTTTTTCCTTTCCAGTCACCTTTCTCACTCACTATGTGTTAACAGACCTCTCTGCATTGAATCATATCTGTTATTAACCTCTGTCTCTCTTCCACAGCAGGTCTTTATCCTGTCTTCCTTCTCTCACCCCAACCGGTCACAGCAGATGGCCCCGCCCCTCCCTGAGCCAGGTTCTTCTGGAGGTTTCTTCCTGTTAAAAGGGAGTTTTTCCTTCCCACTGTCGCCAAAGTGCTTGCTCATAGGGGGTCATATGATTGTTGGGTTTTTCTCTGTATCTATGAAGCGCCTTGAGGCGACTTTTGTTGTGATTTGGCGCTATATAAATAAAATTGAATTGAATTTCTGAGATTGGTCAAATCTGGAGAAAGAAAGTTGTGATAATAACATACAAAGTACATCGTTACTGACATTTTGGCCCCATTAGCTGATGTGCTTTTGTGGATCTCAATCAGGCACCCCTGTGTCAGGAAGGTCTGGAACCTGCTCTCTGTTTAAAAGGCCAGAGTCTCTGATCCTACACTCAAGAAAAAAAAAACAACCTTTGAATGAACATAAAAAAATGATCATGCAATGAATTTCCACGTGATTCAATTGCTTTATTTTAGCAAGGAGACCACAGACAACCATTCACACCTATGGACCATTTAGCATCATTACCCTAACCCTACTAACTGCATGTACCTAAAGGGCCACAAACGCAGGGACAACATGCAAACATGCACAGAAAGCCCAATTGGTGGATTCGAACTCTTGCTCTGAGGCAACAGTGCTACTCACCAACCTGTCACTCCATACTGTAGAAAAAGTAGGAGAGCTATGATTTCAAGGCTTGAATTTTATTTACATTTTTGTCCTTGACAGGTTAAGCCACAGTAAACAGCAATAGCATGCACGTGCTGTGTGTTTACTTGCCTCTAATAACCCCAGTGACTTTCCTGTGGTTTGAAATCTCTTGTGATCAAGCGCTAACAGCTTCGCAGTCCTCCAGATGTCGATCATGCATCCTCTGAAGATTTGGTTGCCAGGTTGGCCTCTGACTAAGCCTGAAAAACTACCGAGGATCTGTTCATTTTTAATATGACATCTGAGTGATTTGATGTCAATAATAAACAGGCTTTTACCTTTACAGTTTCACAAGGTGAAAAATAGAATGTCCACAACTCAGCTAATGCTGATTTTGAGAGGAGAGAGGTTGAGGAGAGAAGGGGCAGAATTCAGGCTGAAGAAAAGTATTTCTGTTCTGTGTTGATGTAATCCAGCCAAGTCCTTGGAAGTTGTCTTTCTGCAGAAATCAATGGAAATCCAAAACCTCTTGATTTTGTAATCTAACATGGCAAAAATGCTTAGCTTCTACGGCACAAGTTTCTTCCGTAATACAGTCAACAAAAATAGAAATAGACGTTAAATTTAAGTATTTGAAAGATTATTAAGTCATTAACTTTGGCAGTTCATGGATTTTGCAAACTATCATCATATGTTGTGGAAACAACTTGATTATTTAGGAAATAGAGTTTTCTACTTTTACGTTGATATAAAATGTGCCAAAATTAGAAAATGAAATTACTTTTTTAGGGAACAAGTTTGTATTTTTATTTTTCAAAAAACTGAATTTTATTATATTTTTTTATAGAATAGCTTATAGCATATTGGTATGTAAATATAATAAATAATATAGAAAAACAACACTAAAAATAGTTCACAATAGAAAGAATTAATAAGATATTCCAACTAATCACAACTTCTACAACAACAATACAAGTCCTGTGTAGAAATGCAATGTTCTTTACATTTTCACTTTCTTTTTTATAATCAAAATTTTATGCATTTTATAAAAATATGATGTAAAATATGAGTAAAAGTCGGTAATAAAATTGGTTTGTCTTGTGGTCATCTTCTAACTGCACTGGCCGTGTGTGCTTTTTTCTGCATGCTTGCATCATCAGATATTATAATCCATCACATACCGGTATGTTTCTTTCCAGGAGACCATGGAGATAACGGCCTTCCAGGACCAAAGGGTGAAAGAGGAGACAAAGGAGAACAAGGAGAGCCAGGTACTGGAAAATGGTAGAGTTTAATATGCCTATACAGTCCACCCTGTGGCAGCTATAGTAAGAGCTGCTCACATTCTCTGAAATCTTATCAAAGTTGCTTCAGTGCATCCTTTACAACCAGCTTCTGTACTGGGGAGACTGGAGATATCATCTCACAGATCAAAGCACGACCCCAGTGCAACATTCAGTACTGTTGGCGACAATATTTTAGCACCTTGGGAATGAGAATGGGTGCCGGGGCAGACCAGACACCAGACACTCCCACCCAAGGAGTAGGAACGGATGCAGGAGCAGGCTGGGTCATGGCTGCCCTTACCTTGGAGTGGCATAAGCAATGATCTGGCACCCGCTGTCCCTACCTGAGAACCAGGTACTGGAGCGGAAACCAGCAGGGCCCTAACTGATTTGAGACCAGGAAACGCGATTGGCTGAGCCCCAGCCTCCCAAACCTGAGGCACTGGTATGGGTGCAGGGGTAAGCAGGAGCCCAGCTGCCCTCGGAGCAGGAGCTGGTGCCAGCTGGGTCCTAGCCAGTGTCCCCCGAGAAACTGGTACAGCTGCAGGGAATGGGGGGACCTTGGCCACCCTAGGAGCAGGTGTGGGTGCACAACCCATCTCTGCCTGAACTGACTGACTTACACCAATGATCGTTTCAGGCTGTGCTGCTTCATAAACCCTTTCTGAATGAGAAGCATGAGAATTCATCTTTGAGCACAAAAACAGTCTCAGAGAATGCAGGTCATGAATAAATGAATAGTCTGAGGGAGTCTTTCAAAAAGTAGTTTCATATACAGTACATAATCCTCATGCACAGTCTTGTATTTAGCCAGTTCAGAAGCACAAATGTATGTTTGAGCTTCTGGAAAAAAAGAGCCGTTTATTGTGGCTGATAATGAACAAGAACAAAACAGAGAAACAAAATTAAACGAAGAGCCAACCTTAAAAAAACTAAATACAAAATACCTGAAACACATGGAAAGAATGAGAGGACATGGAGACACGAGGGAGGACAGAAGATTTACAGACTGAGGGAGAGACAATAAATACGCTGAGGGATGACGAGGGGAAGTGGAAACAGCTGGAGTGAACAAGATGTGATGAGACAGGGGAAGCAAAACTTAGCACACTGAACACAGGACGAGAGAATGAACAGGAAACACTGAGACTTAAGACATACAGCTGGATACAGCAATGGAGATAAACAAGCAGGGTGTCATGCGGCGGCTGTGTGAGGGCAAGAGAGGACCCAAAATGCACGGCTCTAGACACACGGGGATGAACTCAAAGGCAGGTCTTTATTAACAGGAACATAAGAAGTCATACAAAAAATATACTGGGAGCAACTAAAGCTGAGGCGCTGGGAAGACACGGTAAATGCACACAAGCTAGAGGGACGACGCAACACGGAACAAAGGAACACTTTGACATAAATACACAGAAGGTAATGAGGGAAGTGGGAACACACGGGGAACGCAGCTGAGGACAATTACTCGTGACAGAGCGGGGAGGACACGAACCTGAAAATACTGACACCAAGATGTGGACCTTGAACACAACACAGTACACAGAGATGGGCACAGAGAGAGAGGCAGAGAACAAGGATGAATACACGAGGGGATGAGGAGAACACAGAACACAAAGGACGGGAACATGGTACCAGAACAAACACCACAATAACAGCATGGACAAAGGGGGATCCAAATACCAAACCAAACAATCCAATGAACATAAGGAACAAAATACAAAACCACAGGAAAACTAAGAACACTGGGTCAAAATGACCCAGGACCATGACACAGGGAGGCAAACGATGAGACACAAGGAGAGCAACAGCATGTCTACACACACACAAAGTCTAGACATTAGAATTATTTTTATTACTCAAACTGCATATCTCATTCAGCATGTTAATTAGACATATTCAATTCAATACTTTATTGTCCCACAAGGGGAAGCAATAAGAATAAACAAAACAATGATAAAAAGCCACAAGACAGTTATTTGCCATTAAGGAGACGGGTTGCAGTTGGGATAAAAGGAACCTGGTGATAGGTTTGTAGCTTGAACCCATCCGCTGGAACGTTGAAGACAATATAATTACAGTGCAAAGCAAGACACAAGTAGGCAAAGTTCTTCATGTTACTCGTGCACGGGAGAAAACCGGACAGAGCGCCGTTCCTTCGCTTGACCCCAGTTGCTCTCGTCCGTTCTCCCGTACCACTGTTCTTTTATTGAGGTTACAGGAATATGCATAGGTTCATTAACATATGACGTCTACATGCACACAAAGAGTACCTTGCCTGTGTATGTGTGTGTGTGTGTGTGTGTGTGTGTGTGTGTTACTGCTGATCAAAGGGTCCTATACGCACAAAGGCACACTGCTGATCAAAGGGTCCTATACGCACAAAGGCACACAACAAACATCCTTGGTCAGGAAGAGAGTAACCCTAGATGGTTCACCCTAGATAACACGATGAGGAAGTCCAACAGTTCATTTATAAACAAAGAGCACTTAGACTAAAACAGACATACGTGTGTTTGCTATACCATAAATCAATAAGAAAAGATAAACCCTCTCCTAGGGGGTATGTGATTTATAGCAGGACACTCGTGTAGAGGAATGTACACAGAGTTAATACAGACCTCTTTTAGGATGAGACATCCTTTCAATCTACCAATGATTATATACTTCTAAGCATATATAAGTAAATGTTTCTAAGCATAAATGACAATCAACAATACAAAATCTAACATTCCCCCCTTATTGACGTTTATGCTTGAAAAGTTCCCAGTTATGAATACCTCATGTCTGACAGTTTTAATGCAAACATTCTTATATTCTGCATATGTCAAATCACCCCAAATTACTGCAAATGTATTAGCGGCTATCCCATTCATCGATCTCATTTCATAGCAAACTGCATCCTACAAGCAAACAGAGAAATTGTTAATTTAACAGTGAAAATAAGAAAGTAACATTTTCAAAAACATCTCAGCTTGGTGATGCTTCCTCCGGGTGTGCAAATCACATGCCTCTCTGCAGAGTGGTCTGAGTTCTGCAGGGCGTCACAAATGTCTCTTCCAGTTGTTTCCATCACTGTCCATAGGACCAGAGTCCAAATGTATGTAGAATTCAAACATACCAGTTGGTTTTGTTGTTCGTCAACATGGTTCTCAGCTATCTCCAAGGCTGCAGACCTCTCAGCACTCTAGTTTTATGGCCTCCCATCACCTCACTTCAGGCCTTCGTCCTGTGAGGGGGATATTTATGACTCCGCCATTGTCCACGCTCTGCAGAAAAACCTCTCTGTGGAAAGGGTGCTGGGTTCCGTCATCTTACTGCTGTTATGATCCTAGCAGCCTTCAGAGTGTCATCGTATGCACAGTACAGTGGCACAGCATTAGGTGATGTTCATAGGAAACTACTGTCATCACCACCATAGCTTCTGGTTCCTGTGCTTTCACAGAATCATGATGTCATCCTTAGACTCCCTCTGCGCTGTCGATGGAGCTTGGCACGCTCCCCTCATCCCTCGAGTTTTCCTGTCCCAACGCTGCTGAAGATTTAAGGCAGAGCACGTCGTACACCTTAGTTGTCTTCCTCAGCGTCAATATTGAATCTTTCATTTTATTTAAAATCTTGCTGTGGGAAGTCTCCTCTTGATCTCCTGGAAGCTCAGTAGCACAGCTCTCTGTGTGATGTCTGCTGTGCTGAAGATGATCTCTGATCCTCCTCAAGCCTCTCTCCTGGCCTCAGCTCCCATCTTGTGGATGATCCTCTCAGGCACTCCTTCTCATCACGCATAGTCCTGATTTTGGGCCTGCTGGACCTGTCTCTCTTAGGTGAGAGTTGTCATGTGTCCATCTCCTCTGCCTTCCTCCTGGTTCAGCTGTTTCCAGCACCAGCTGGGGTCCTATAAGGATGAGCGTCGTAGTCAAGGTAACCAAGAGGGTCCTGGTCGCACACAGGTCCGTCACGCCTCGCACTTGGTTGCCCTAGAGTTGATCAGAGGCTGGAGGTTGAAGTGCGAGCTTACCCTACGGGGGCTCAATCAGCACTCCCCCCTCACCACTGAAACAACCAAGTGTGAGATTTCTCTATTGTGCTGTCTTGAGGGTGCTGGGGTTTCCTGGGACATCGACCTCTTTGCAGTGGCTCTGATAAATCCAGGAGGGTCTCTCCGCTATTTTGCAGGCAGTTTCATGGTCCTTGCTGTGGCTCCAAGGTCTGATCTCATGATGGGCCCCAACCAGCTTGACCTTTGACCTCAACCACTGTCTGGACTATGCCTGGAATGTTTCTCGCTTCTCACTGCTGCACCTGTATTTCAGAAAGACTTCTATTTGGAGAGCATGTCAACAATCATTAAACCACATTCTTTAGTTCAGTGAACTTCACTTATAGGCCATCAAAGCCTCATCTGAACATGGATGCACCACTTGCATAGGTTTAATACTTGTAAATAAATGGCTAATCACACAAATCACTGCAACAATAATAGTAAACATTGTTTAATGTTAATTCTGGACTCCACCTCTTGACGCATGGACACACCCATCCAAACCTGGATCCCAGTCTTAAAAACTGGCTCCACCAGGAGCCTGCATACACATCATGGCCTGGAAAACAAGATCTGGAAATAAAATCAAACTTCACACTTGTAACCAATTGTATCATAAAAGTAGTAAAGCATTCAACAACAGCAAGACAAGTGTCATGCATAGGTTTTCTCAAATCAGTAAACTACAATTATTCCCCTAATTTGCCTCAGACATGGATCATCCCACGTGCTCAGTTAAGATTAATGTAATCAGTGACTCCTCTTAAGCAAGGTCACTCCACTTATATATTACTATGGGCTCAAAGTGACCAGCTAAGAGCCCATATTCAACTTTTCCATAAACACCGTAATCTCTTATTTGTTTTTACTCATGTCACTTGTCCGCTTCAGCTGAATCTACTACAGCATTCTCAGAGAAACAAACATTAGCAATACACAT